TTTTGTTGAGCGTTGTACGATTTTTAATCATCGAGTTATTCAACATTGAAGCAAAAATGGTTCTTTTTACTTCAATGTTGAATAACTCGATAACTAAAAATCGTATAATGCTCAACAAAAAAAGAAATTAAAGGTAAAAATTCACTCTTTCGAAAGCTGTAAACTGCATTTGCATGCGATTTTTAATTCGCGCCATGAAACTTGTCAAAGTTTATAAAAAATTTTGAGATTCATCGGGTTTCCTTTTCTATCCGTGTAATTCCATAAAAGATCAGTAGGATCGTTTTCTGAAATACCGATTTGGAAAGTAGAGATCTTAAGCTGTAAAATGCTTTTTTGATCATCTCGATACGATCATTTTTGACAAAGTTACACTCTCTTGAATTTTGCCTATTTTTGGAGGGTAGTAAGTGATGCTTTAATTTTGTTGAGAAGTGTATTTCATAAATATTATTAATATTATTATTAACCTTAAATGGTATTTGCAGATCTAGTAGAGCCAGACATTTTTTAAATTATGCCTCAAATCTCCAGGTAGCGTTGTGAAAAATTGCTTATAATAAATGTTTTTCACGACTTTATATAATTTTAAATTACATAATTATATTCCTCGGATTTTTACTTCTGAAAATGAACAAAAAGTTCAATTAAGTTGACCTTAAACAAAGATTTATCAATTTCAAATTTTGTCGGACTTTCAAGTTTTGTTCATTGTACCCGTGACTAGAAAATTTTGAAGCATTATCGATTAGAGATCAAAATAATTTGATCGCCGTGTGTGAATATGTCGTGCAACATTAATGATTTTGATTGTTTATTGAGTATTAATACGTAGCAATTTATGTTTCAACAAGAGATTTGTTTTTTAACAATCTTATATGTTAATTTACTTTTATAATTTATAAAATGAAAAATTGCATTTCTTAAACAAAAAAATTTTGAAATATATTGTTATTAAAAGCTTATTATTTTTAGCTTCTATTTTTAAAGACTCGCTTAAACCTATCTATTATTTTTGTTAAGAATATCTTAAAATGATCAAGAGCTGTTTTCATAAATATATATCTTGATTGTCTTAGAAGATATTATATGTTATTTAATAATAATAATCATAATCACAGACGATATGTATATGTATATTTGCTTACAGGTTTACTATGTACCTAAAGCTGCTCATAGTGATGGGACTAAGTTGGACTATAAGTATAATATTGTGGCTTGTCAATAGTACTTATACCGTACCGGAGATACTCTGGAATATCAGCTTCTTGATAAACATTTATCAAGGCGTCATCATTTTCATCTTATATGTGTGCAAAAGGAAGACCTTGCGGTTGTTGCTTAAACGATTCGGTTGGCAGACTCACGGTCCGTCTTTAAATATCATTTCATCGAGCAATCAGTCTACAGCGTCCGAAAATACAACCCACATCCCATCGGTATCGGAATCAGTGCATATGCAAAATATCAATCTTTCTATTAATCAGGAGCCCAATCATTACGCAAAGTTTAATGCAAAATAAAGGAACAAATTTATTATATTTATAAATCAGTAGTTAATCAGCATCATAATTTAATTCTCTAGTCAAGGATTGAGCTTGCGTTATTGTATGTACCTCGCTCCTTGTTTGTACAGACACTCATTATGTACTCGTGGAATATTCCAAAAGTAAAGTTTACATGTAATTATTATAAATTTCTACGTATGCATATAAATTCTACGGATGCATATAAATTACTGTTGATGGATTTTATATATTATAATAATAAAAAGAGTAACTTAAGTACGGTTTTCTGTGACTTTTCGTACATACATTATTTTACAGCATTCGTTTATAGCCATAGGATTATCTTGGAATGTTAAATTTACATAAAATCAGGTTTATCAGAATTTGTAGTAAGCTTGGCATCGTTAATGGCATACTAGCATGCGAATAACCTGACAGGAATGCGGCGTATTGTGATTCATAGCGCACAATCGAAAATATTTGTCCTTACGAGATTTTCGACGAGTGTTATCAAACAGTCGAGACGGATCAGCCAGCTGATTACTATTATTTCGACGATCGTCTTAGCTTACGGAACGCAACTTATAATTTAAAGAGACTTTGTGAGACTTTAATAAATATACATATACGTACATTCGAAATATATGTAGATTTTAATTAATTAACTGAATAAAATGACTAGGCTTTATAAGGCCGGTTTTTAATCTTTAACCGATTCATTATCTTGTCAATCATTCATAATCTTGTCAATTAGCAATCATGTTCAGTAAATAAATGCATGTCTTCATCTTCCGCCAAAGTAAAATTTAATTTTTTTGTGCTTATGAAACAATATAGTGCCAGTTTTCTTTTAAAATCAATTGATCTTTGCTCGTAAAATAATGGTATCATTTTTTTGTATTTTAATTCGTTATCTAATGACGGTTTTTGATACAATCTATTCGATACAATCATTGTGTGGTAAGGCTTGTATATAAATATTTATTATATTATATTGTATATATATTATTGGTACGTTTTTTTTGAAGATGGTGCATGTACCATTCAGCTTTTCTTTTGTTTTTTTTTAACGTGAAGAGAAAAAGAAAGAAAATGTACCGTGTAAGAAAGACCATGCACCGTTTTCAAAAGGAACATGTGAGATCAAACACACAAATTAACTAGAAAAACAAAAAGTTGTAACATAAAATTTTATTATATTTATTAAGCAAGGACAATGTCTTTTTATAGAAGGAAAATAAAAATTTTTTACGATCACTAACAAATAATTGAGCAATAAAATTGAAAATTAACTGTAAAAAAAAAGTATCTATATATCTATAAAAAATATATTTATTTTATAGTGATTTGGCTAAAATTCTAATTTTGTTTTGGAAAAATATATTTGTTTACGAATGGATCTCAGAATGCCATCTCAGAATTTTTATGGTACCATATTCTACATATATTGGAGTATTTTTAATAATTTTTTCAGATCTTTAAAAGTAGATATAAAATTAATGTTTTTATTTGAAAATATGGGAAAATGTTAAAAAATTTATGTGTATAAAAATTGTGTGTATAGGGTAAAGTAGCGCAATTTGGTCATA